TACTCAATGGCCCTGAATGCAAAGTAAGTCTAAATTTGCAGCCCTACCCCGGCAAGTGGTGGCGTGTCCATATGAGTGAAAAAATCACGAGAGGGAATTTAAACAACAACAAACAAACAAAAAGAAAGAAAGCTCTTTATTGTTTAGCAATATGCTATGATAAATTATTTAACAACATATATTTCATAGACCATCTTAAAGAAGCAAACTTCTATCTGCATTGCTTGTTCTATATTTTTTCCCAAAATATTCATGTTAAATCCTAAATTAAAACTGGGTACATTTTTGTTTAGAAATCCTAGAAAATGTATATGTGTTTGCTTTTAATTTTCACTGCTTATTGAAAAATAAACAAGTTTATATATCAATTAACACGACTTTAACAGCCACGTGATTGCGGTAGAATGAAACATATCCTCATTCAACGAACTCATCGTCTCATTATGAAAACAATCTTTTATTATTATAATTATATACCCGTTCTCCGTATAAGGATACCTTTTATTGCGATGGACTCATTTACTTCATTTTAGGTGAAGTATGATTTTTTTAACCTTAAGAATGATATAAAAACGAGTAAAAACTGCCTTTGGATCTGGGGATGCAATTTTGAAAAATTTCATCATAATCACAAATGCAATGGCTTAGTACATTCTTAGTTTAATCAAAAATTTAATGCATATTCATACAATGAGTTTAAACTACATGTAAGAATACTCAAAGATTCTTATTTTCTTGTGAAAAAAAAATGCAAAAATGAAATATTGATTTTCATATTAACCTGTCGATTACTAAAGCAAACTATGTTTGCCCTATTTTCCGATTGCAAATCAATGATATTCAAGATATATTTAATTTCTTTTGATTTTTCTCAAGAAAGGTAAACTGTAAATCACTTTTTATTCGCGAGAATATAATAAATTATTTTAGCGTAATTACGCGAGACTGCCTGTTCGCGAAAATTTCATTCTCGCGCATATTCCTAGTATTATGAATATATAGAACAATATCCAAAACTCATGAAAATTATGTCTTGCTTAAAAATACCAAAAGACCATCTCGCAAAAATAAGTTGTTTCGAGAATTTGGTGATCAGGAGTAATTCGTGATTTTACTTTTATTCTCTCAGTTTTAAAATTAGCATGACTCTCAACGATTGAAAGTTGCTGGCATGCTACTAATTCGTCATTCATTTAAAACATATCCTTTCTGCGTGTCATATTGAACTCATTAACTTGACTTCGTGATAATGTCAGATAATTTAACGTTCATGATGAAGTCATTTTAAAAATTCAAAAGGAATTACTAAAATTTAATGTATGATGGTCCCAGAAAATAGAATGCATATAATATAATACATACAACAGCTTACACAATGATACTCCACTTTCGTAGATGAATCCTTAAAATATGCATATTTTCAAAGCAAGTTTATACTTCAAAAACACAATTGGATTCTTATTGATCTAATTAAAATACCAAAATGATTTAACTGAAATATGAAAGAAGCTTTAATTTACAATTAAAAATCAAAGTTTCTTAATTATTCCTTTCCATGTAATTTGATAAATTTCAATATTCATTTTGCCGAATTGTATGTCATTAATTTTACCATGATGATTACATTTCCAACTTTTGTTTCATGTTGCCCATCACAACATTTCTTCAAATATCATTTCCTAGCTTACATTGTAGAGATATTTTAAAATGACTAAAAATATAATAAAAAAGTCAATTGAAGAATACCAGAACTAGATTTGACAAAAACAGTTGTCAATAACAGTTTAGTTTCAATGTCTTAGTAAATCTAAGAAGTAAAAACTACAAGTTTTAAAATAAAAATCATTTTCCATAGATATAGGTTGAAAACGCAAACAAGCGATTTAGAAAAGTAAACGGACAAGGAGAGGAATTTCTTTATAGATTGCAATGCAGATTGTTTTATAGATTGTTTTGAACGTTAATAATACTGTACTTCTTTTTGAAGTAGTCATCACCTTTAAATACATATATTGAAAATTTGCCTAATTTTAGTTTACACCACAAAATTTGGCCAATGTCAAAGATTTCCCTTACCTTGCTAGCACCTATCACAACACCTATTCTCCAAATAAAGTCTTTTTTCCTAAAAAGAAACGACTTATACAATGTAAAAGGTGAAGATGACTAATAATGACCAGAGTACTCCGTAGATCAAATTTAGTATAAAAGCAATGACCAAATAAATGGAATGAAACATGTCAGACAGACTAAACTTAACGCTAGGCAATAGAACAGCTACTACCGACTTTATAAGTCTATAATGTGACCCAGGTTGGGGTTGAAATCATGACCTTTTGAAGGCAAAGAGAACACTACCATGATCTCCAAAGTTGAGCATTTGTCAGAATTTAGAATCATAAATTATAAATGCATATCACAATCATAGTAAGACAAGAAAAGGTTAAGAACACAATTATGTATTATGAATGAAATGTATTATTTATTCCTTCTAAATGTACATACAGTCAAACGTATTGAAGTTGTCAACCCCTTCGATTTATGTCTTGATAGCAATCATGTTATTATTTATTTCCTTTGAATTTTAAAAAAAAATGAATAAAAATATTCAGACATATTATAAGAACTGGTAACCTATCTTTATAATTAATACAGTGAGATCTATCTAATTCTAAATGCATTGGGAGAAAAATTTTCTGTCTGAATAGACAGTATGTCGGATTGTATAGTAGCAAAAATGGAAAATAGTAATATGGGAATGAAAATAAAGGCCTGAATTCATAATGAGACGGATTGGACAGGTGCCGGATTGGACAGTATTCACTGTATTTTACAAAGAGCACAAAAGGCAGGTTAAATGGTCAAAATTTTATCATTAGCATACACACGTTAATATATGCTTTTCGTATTTAAAACTAGTCAAATTATGTGTCATTTGTATTCAAAGTTGTTTTGCGTTATCAATTGTGCTTTGCCTTGAGAACAATGTTTGTACTGAGTTTCTACAGCTCGGTTTATTTTAAAATCAGACTGTATTATTTAATATTCATTTGCAATATTTCTTGATAAGAACATCTTGAAAAGGAAGAAAAGATTGTGAACTACACAATGGTTTGTTAACTTTTTAGAAATAAGCAAATACAAACTGGATCTAGACACATGTTAGGGCTCTAGGCTATAACAGATGTGTTAGATATGATAGCAGACACGCGTGCTTTAAAAACATTTAATAACATATCAATATCTCATGATAGTCCAATCATTTTAATGATCATGCAATAATTAATAAAAGTTTGAAGCATTGCACAAATTAAAAAAAAACAAAACATAGGACATAAAGTTACTTGGAAATGAAATCTGCTCCAAAAACTTTAACCTTGTCACTCATCCGGAAAATGTAGGTCAGATCCAGCATCCGAAGAAAGTTCAGTAGTGTGCATGCTTAGATGTATCATCCATGCAAGTTTTGTCAATATCGCCTATAGTTACCAGGAAATGAGACCTGCTCCAAAAACATGAACCTGGTCATTCTTTAACTGAAATTGCAGCTCTTAAACCTTGACTGATACAATGAAACACACTAGAAGCATCCTCCATGCATCTCTGATTGATATAGGGCATATAAGTACTTGAAAAGAAAACTGCACCAAAAACTTTAAATTGGGATGCCGACACCAACGCCGACGCTGGGGGTATTACATTAGCTCCCCCAACTTCGTTGAGGTGGGCTAAAAATGGAGGATGCACATATTCAATCGACTAATAATCAACTTTAAACCTATTCAAACGGCGAACATTGCAGACAAGTGCTTTTTAACATAAAATTAGAATTACATATGTTGATACATCTGGTTGAATAAATGCGTTAATTTATATTCACATCTACTTCTGTATGCATTGAAAGTTATAAGGATTCGAATTGTCAAGTATTTATGCAAGTGGATTGGATTTCTTGTTATAGATGCTTGTTTGTCAAAGGAAAACGTACAGAAGAAGACGTTTGTATGTTTTATGGTATCTTTTATATGTTAAACTGTAAGAGTCCTGTTACTCACGATACATTTATAGAAAGTGGCATCATTACCTTTTTAGTTTTATACAGAATATGTTTTGTTTAATTTAGTGAAGAGATGTATTATAATAGACCGAAAGTCCAGCTTTACCATGTCAATAAAAATTTTCTATAAGTGTTTTATATAACAACCGATCATAAACTGTGCTTATTACCTGTCATTTAGTGAAATATGGAATTGATGATTTACAGTACCATTTTTAGGGTCCAATTTTATATCTATGCAAATTTTTTTTATAAAATCTTTTTAGGAAACCTTGATAACATGAGTTTCTACTGTGGACATAAATACAACTCCCAACTATACTAAATATACGGGAATATGACGTTATTTTCGGAGCAATTGACCACTTCGAAAATGACTGCAGTCAAAATTAAAGATCGTTTTGCAAAAGATATTTGAACCATTTTAAGTTTCGAAAGTTGATCCCAGAAAAATCAAATTTGATTCCAAGAGAGAGAGAGAGAGAAAGAGAAAGAGCGAGAATTAACAAAAGAGTTCCCAGTTTAATGATGCACAAAATTAAGTTTCGGGAAAAGATCATTAATGATTGTTATTTTATGTATATAAACTGATACTATACCCATGTTTTTCAGTTATCAACAGAAGATATAAGCATATAACAATTTCATATAAAAGTCTATGAACAACAAGCGAGATGTCTAATTAAGCGTATAGTTAGTGCGATGTGATTTTTGAATAAATATTTTTTTTCTTTCAAAGTTTTCTTTATAATAAATGTGATTCTTTCTTCATAGTCATAAGTTATTGTTAAAATTCTTTTGGTCCATTCTCAGTTACTTAACATTAATCAATTATTTGAATTAAATAACGAACAGTATTCAAGCTCAAAGTCCATTTAAACAATACTAAATCCTCAATAAAAATAACATATTAGAAATTCCTATAAAAATTAAAAAATATTAATTGTTAAGAAGCAAACCGTATTTTTACTCATCGAAGTAGATTTACTCAGTTTACTCATAAGTGTATATTGTCGCCTACTGATTAATTGATAGCTTGTATTTGTTTAGTTGTTGCTTTCCTTTGTCGAAAAAAGTCAATCATCCAATCAGGTATTCCTCTTTAGGATTAGGTTCATTTCCATGGATTAAGTTTGCTTCATGCACGGGATTCTGTACCGTTGTAACACACTCCTTGTAGATAGGATTGTCAGACTAAATGATAAATAACCAAAAAACAGCTTACATTTTACATTAACATGATCTCAGCAATAATTTGTATTGCTATTCAGAAAAAAAATAATAAATACACTTTACAGTTATTCATGTCATTTTCTTTATCTTAACATCGCGCCAACTTGAATTAATTTATCCAAATAAAAATCATGAGGCTGTCACATTCATGTACCTTCTCCCATATTGGGTTTTGAATTTCTGATTCAAATTTGGCATACTCCAGTTTATCATATACCATAGTCAGAAGCTTCCAAATCAGGATCAAACTCAACCCAACGAGAAAGATGGCACCGGAAACACTGGCTCCTATTGTGACAGGGTTGGGTGGCCCCAAAGGACAACCTAAAGATAGGTAAAGCACGTGTTGAGATGTATTATTTTTTTATGTACGTAACCACTTCACTTGATTGAAATACAATCGTAAGTCATTTCTTCTCAATCTGTTCTTATTCAATATGTTCAGTAGCCAGTCACAATATATACACTGTATAATAGCCAAACAATTGTTTTCATTAATCTGAATTGCAAGTAAAAGAAGACAAAAAGCACATACATCTAAAACTTGATATATCAAAGCTTACATGTATTTATGATTCATTATTTTACCAAGCATATTTAAAAAAATATATTTATTCAAATGTCAAGTGCTTTTTGTGTCCTTTTTCTTGTTTATCGTTTTCTATTTATCATATTTGACACAAATACTTACGTTTTGAAGACTTTACTTGTATAAATTGTCTATCTGGTGAATTATCTTAAATAAAATACATGAATCCTCGCTGTAAAATTGCATTTGTTACCAGCTTTTATATAACAAAGGATTTGCATAAATCAACACAGATGTTACGAGCTCAAGATCTGAGAGCTTAAATAAATTTTATTTTAAATATTAAAGGAAAAAAGAAAAATAAATTAAGTCTTTCGTTTATTTATTTATTGACTGATTTATTGGTTAACCTTTTTGGAGAGTTTTTTTTTTTTAAGAGGTTTAATTCTCCTTAAGGTATCTTTATATACAAACACAAGGTAATGCAGGATATTGAATAGCTTCAAGAAAACAAAGTTTGTAAATATTAAATGTTTAACTTACAAACGTTGAAGCTGATAATACAACCATACTTGTCTTGTATAACGCAGGGTGTGAGTGATGTCTCATTGTCAGCTTAAAACATAAATCATTATTTAATCAAACAAACATGCTTATCTTTTTTTGTTTTCAGTTTTGCCAGGAATATTATAAGCATTAAATTATGTACAAGAATGAAGATGTTTACAGATATGAGATGACACTTACATGTATCAGTTTCCTGTAAAATAGACACAGCTTCGACATTTTTGCATCTTTGGATACATATAGTTTCATTGAAGAGACCCTGGTTGAATCCAATGCACTCTACACAATTTTTGTTGTTCTCACATGTTCCTGGACAGTGCTGATAACAAAAATTTAAACTAATTCAAATCAAGTTAAATTGGTATTAATAATCATGCCTTCAGGCATCAGAATGTTTTTGTTGAAATTCTTACAAATCATTTTAGAGTGCTGCTAAGGAATTTTTACCTGACATCGGTCACAAATCGCCCCACTGTATTTGATGTCACACCGACACTTTCCACATTCACAAACTCCGTTATCGGAGCAAAGAGTCTGTTACAAATAATACAAATATGATTTTTTTAAAGAATATCTGAGGATACACATGAAATGTTCCTTTGAAAAAAATATATTTTCTATTCATTTTTTGCATTGATAAGCTAAGTAAAAAATAGGATGTTCGATATGACTGTATGTATACAATACTGTAAAACATTTGAGCTATTACACATTTGAAGCCTCTAGGTTTACATACTTGTCAGTTTGTGTATTGACACGTTTTGTACCCACCCCATTATTGTCTCTGCAAGCTTCCGTAGACACCGGACATTCACAAGCTTCTCCAGTATATTTCACGTCACAAACACATTTTCCACAGGAACATTGTCCTCTTTCATTTCCTAAAATATATGAAAAAAGTCATGAAGTCTTCTTAGTTTATCAGGTAAATTTTGAGAAGATATATTCATATGCAATTGTGCTTTAAATTTTCGGGGGGGGGGGGGGTCATTGAATTTTTTATGCCTGAATTGAGAAAGAGTCTCCACTATGGAAGGGAATTACCGCCAAAAGTCTATTCATCTTGCTTTTATTCTTATTCTGCCTACTTCTTTATTCTTTGTTATTATTGTAACTATATGTCACTTTATTGTTTTCATATTCGTCTTTATTACATTTCACTTTGAACTTTTTTCATTCTTCATTTTGTCCTTACTTCTATGTTGCTTTATTCTTCTAAATACGTTCTTTTTTCTTTTAAATTGATACGGTTTCTTTAATAAATAATCATGATCATCTCTATTACAAATGTAAATTCAGTCATGCAAACCATTAAGCGCATTCAACGCAGACGAATACAAGTAGTGTGAATTTAATGCGGCATTATAACGCTAGGTGGCAGGGTGTTCGCTGCGAGTGTTGGTAAAATTAGGTACGCAAACCCGGGCCGAGGTTATTCTAGCCGATTTTTCAATTTTCTGCCTGAATACTTTATCAATCGAACCTACATTTTCAAGTTCTGTTAGTTATATGTTTATTTGTATACGCGGTAAAATTGCACCGAAATGCTAAATATTATAGATTTTCTCGAAGATATTTAATTTCCAAGTTGGTAAAATGGGAAGGCAGTATCAAGCTGACATTTTTAGTGGTTTTTTTTTTTTTTTTTTTTTTTTTTTTTTGACAAAAAGCTAATAAATTTACAAATGATTCTGATGTTAAACATTATTAATATTTTAACTATTTATAAGCATTTCTTCTTTCAAATGTGCTTTTGTTGCTTTAAATAACACGTTTTAAGAAAATCTGGGTCATTAAAACCGGACCAATGATGAAACTCCAAAATATTTGTGTATTTTCTGTCACCTGAAAAATATAACTCTATTCAAGTTATTTGTTGGATGATTGAATTTAAGTTTTATTGATATAAAAATATTAAATTTTTGATAATTACTAGTATACCCCTATAAATTGAGTTGTTTTTCAGGACCTTTATATATTCTTCCACTGAACTGACATTTCTTTATTTCAGGATAATAACTGTTCATGCGCAGTAGCGTGATTCTGGGGACCGGGGCTAATCTCTGGTTTCGGCAAAGTAGTGCGGAACGTCATGGGTAGGCGTGGCCGGAACCAGGCTAGACCGGGGCATACTAGAAACTTCCCCCGGTTTTCATGAAAATATGTATTAATTTTTTGTATAGAAATAGCACTTTTCAATAAAGAAATGAATATCTCTAGTAAGCACACAGTGTTTGACATCAGAATAACTCAAAAAATTATTTTGTCAATGTCTCGTTTGGCAAAAAATACGTAAAATGTCGGCTTGATATTGCCTACCCATCTTAACAAATTAGAAATCAAAAATCGCCAAAAATAATCTAAAATATTGAGCTTTTCAAAATATATGAATATAAATATTGACATTTTATACAGCGAGTACAGATAAAACTTAGAGACGTAGCAATGTTTTTGAAAGGGGCAGCCAGAGAAAAAAAAAACTTAAACCTAAAAATCTTGACAAGCAAAAAAAGAAAAAAAAAAACAAAAACAAACAAAAAAAAAAAAACAAAAACAAAAAAGAGAAAAAATCTTCAAACTTGAAAATTCTATTGGGGGGAGGGGGGTCCAACTTCTTTCAGTACCAATTTTACTCATACATCAGTACGTACATGGCCCTTATTTGACTAAACTGCAACAAAAAGTGGGAGGGGGGACAACCAGACTTTCATTGAACATTTTCAGTAGTAAAAAAAGTTTTGGCTAGAAAATGTTTGGTGGCCAGCCCCCCCCCCCTCCCCCCCGCTACCGGTGTCATACAGTGAAACTTCCCTCATAGTGAGTCCTCCCCACAGAAGTCTGGCTATATAGTGAGACTTCCCCTCGGGGGGGGGGGGGGGGATAATGACTATGTAGTGAGCCTTCCGCCCTAAATGACCATAGTGAGACTTCCCCTTCCGTATTTGGTTTGGATTTTATTTACATCGAAGATGTATATATTGCATATTTAGGTAATGATTATATATATATATATATATATATATATATATATATATATATATATATATATATATATATATATATATATATATATATATATATATATATGGTTGTGCCATTTAGGAGACCGCTCATATTTATATATTGGCATTAAGTAGCCTCGTAGAATAAGTAGACCAAAACCGGTCGCCTTAACATTTTGACCCTCTCTGGACAGAAAATTAATGACTTTTTAATATTAAATTGACAATAGTTAATTTTAGCTTAGTATATTTTTGTCCCTTAAATACCAAAAATATGCCAAAAATTTATGATTATAGAAATTTTTAAATTTAAATTTCAAGCAACGTATATATTGGTATTATTATATATCGTCATTATGTAGACCAGCTAAAACTTGCAAAATTAAGTAAGATCTGCTATATATGTCTTATTTCTCCTAGTATTTAGTTTTAGATATTGATCTCCCACTAATTTTGGGTATGTACAATTTGCTAAATAGAATAAAACTTTTTACGAGAAAATGAGCTTTAGAGTTTCGTGTTCATCAACTTCAAAGTTTTCGTGCGCAATGCCTTCCGAAAATTTTCGGAAATCCTCGGTATCCTTTACGACCTTCGGAGAAATAGGAGTCAGACAAAATTTTGGTAAGTAATAACAAATTATGATATTTTAAAAATACTTATTCATGATACATTGACTATATATTATGCACCTAATATCTTGCGGTTAACGTCTGGTATTTATTCATTGATAAAGACTTGCGTACATACTTATTAGCATGGAGGAAATTCGAATTGTAGTTTACCAACAGCGTTGTTTCAACAGATCGTTTGTTTGTTTTGAACATATTTTATTGACATAAGCAAATGGATCGGGAACAAGTTCTTACAACTTACTGGTTCCTAACAATTGATTATTTGAACAAAATAATTGTAATCTGTGCTTATTCATTAATATATACTTAATATTAGGCTGGTGGTATCGTTCTTGCGGAGATAAATTAAATATTCGATAATTTACCTGAAATACTAACTCTAATTTCCTATTATACGTGGGGTAGGTTGGGTTGGAAATGGGAGAAAGGTGTTTCTAGGTTCAAACTTTTTTCACAGCCTAATCCAACCAGCCTTTCCTGAACAATTTTAATAGTAAAAGATTAATTGGGGGAGGGGAGGAGCCCCCCACCCCACACCCTCCAACCACGATACCACATCTCTGATGTCTATGGCAGCGGATACATGCATGCATATATGTACATACAAATTTATGTATCTGACAGCATCCCTCTTAGATTTCTTGCACATGAAACATAAAGTTGCTTTGGACAAGCCCAATATAGCAAAAATTTTGAAATATCTTTAAAAATAAAGTGGAATATTAAGGGCTACAAACTGCTAAAAAAATTCAAAGGGACCAGATTAATATTTTTAATTGGGTTAGAAGTGGGGTTTGGGTGCAGGATGTGTGGAAATATTTTGTGGTGTATATTCCATATATGTAAAAAGGCTGTAGGCTACACATAATTTTTTTTTAAGGATAGAAATTTGGTTGAAAAGGGGGGGGGGGGAGTTGATGATAAATGTTATCTATTAATTTCATTTTGTTGCAAATGCCAAAAAAAAAAAGAAGAAATTTTTGACAATGCGCATTTTTGTACCCATACTTACAGTCTAACTTTCTGTTTAATGACAAAAATAATCCTATAACTGGAAATAAAAATTAAGCCAAAATTCAAGTGTTATATTAGGTCTGCATCAGCCTCCTTGCTTACCCATTATTTGTGCCTCAAGTTAAATCTGTGACATCACACTAGCCGACACATTACATGTAGTAGAAAGTAATAATATTATTATACGCCAATGATATTCTAATCAATTTATTACACTGTACCTTTTGGCATGAATGGAGGATTAATTAACAGGTTATATCAGAGATGAGCATATCAGTTAATAGTTATATGTATTACACTTTCCATGATTGAGTAACAAAAGATATACTGTGTAATTCTTGCAATATTTTTTCTATAATAGTAGACTCAGTTAACATCACCACCGTTAAAGAGTTTCGATCTACAGCACTGCTGATTTAATTTCCCAGATTTTATTAGAGATCTACAAGTACCTTTACAGGTCACTTAATTAGTACATGTACATGTATCTCAAATTTAATTGGGCAAATGAGAATTTTGTCTTTAACAACTTAAATGACTCAAAAATGTATTGCATGTTCAACATGATCAAGGCAAATTATTTCCTTTATCATGAATTTATTCTAATTTTATGGGAGAATATATTTATAATTATGAAAGTACTAGTAAATCAGTCTACACTTAAGTAAAAATTACCTCAACTATTTGAATTACTTTGCAGAATTTATTGCATTGTCTTTATTACTTAACAATCATGTAAAACTTTATTTCATGGCCGTAGGAACGGGGGGGGGGGGGGGGGGGAGAGAGGGGGTGCCCCCAATAATTTTGCCGAAATATAGAATACTAAAAAAACATAGCTACTATATGCTTGTGCCCCCTCAATAAAAATGCCTGATGACCTTTTTTTTTTCTTTTTTTTCCTTTTTTTTTTTAAAGCTTGTCAAGTAATTTTTGGTTGTTAGTGCCCCCCAAAGAAAATGCATGGCTGTCCCCCCTTCCCCAAACTGAAATTGCTTCTTACTGGCCTGTATTTATTGATTTTTTTTTAAAATGTTTCATTTATTTATAAACCTATTAAGTGTTTCATTTTGAAAAGAAATATTAGAAGATAATCATAATTTCAAAAAGAAGTTGAAATTAAATAATAAAAGAGACCCGAAGAAAAATTGCTTGTTGTCAAGCTTAAACAAGTCCTGATTCATATGAAACAGATCCTGATCAATTTAATTTTTTTTTTTTTTTTTTTTTTTTTTTTTACATATAATGAAAAAGATACTGTTTATCTTATGCAGTTGCCATGGAGAAATTAACTTGCTTATACTCTCAATTTAGTTATAAAACCATATAACAAGCAATATTTTTTTTTATTTTAATAAAATTGTTATGCAGAGTCTACATGTATTACTTGTATATCTACATATGTACATTTATTTAGAAACTTTCGATCGGGTTCAGTTTAATTTTGATCGGGTTAGTTAATACATTGTTGAGTCTTTTGATCAGCATGGACATGCACATGGTTTGATGGTATGATAATATTTTTACAGTTTCAATTTCTAAACTTTCCAGGAAAGTTTCCTGCATTTTGTACAATGGCTATTTATATGCCGTATATTTTCCCATGAATTTTTTTTTTTGAAATTATGTTTTAAAATTCTGACCAGATTTCTGAGGAAAATTTTAACTGCCTAGGGTGCATCTTCGCTAGCCAAGGGTTTCTGATACGCTACTCTCCTCATAAGTTTATAAGGAGAGTAGCGTATCAGAAACCCTTGGCTAGCGAAGATGCCTAGGGTGAGATTTATGACAGTCTGAGACATATAAAACCAAGTCTCTGAATAAATTAGATTTTGTTGACTTGTTTGCATTTATGCATTTATTTTTATTATAGTGTGTTCGGTACCAAATAACATGCGAGAATACCTTCTCCAGTATGTTGGAGAGAAAATTAGCAAGAAAAAGGCGGGTGAGAAAATGAGAAGTTGACAGAAAAAGATTTTTTTCATTATCGAAAGGGACATGTACAACATCCATAATGGTAAGAAAAGAGATTTATTTATAGTCATAATTATTTGTTTCTATGATGTTTCTTTCGATAACTTTTCACTCATATTGAAAAGCCAGCACTTGAGAACCAATACTCTGTACTCAGGACCCTTGAGCAGTGAGTAATTTTGTTCATGCCAGCACCTACTACAACATGGGACCTCAGTTTCACTTGAACACCAGTCTCCACATCCTGCAGTGGTATTCGAACCCGTGATGATAGCTAGCATTATGAAAATTACATGTGCTGTAGATCGTAGGTTGCTACATAGTTCTTTGTATGTTGCGCTAAAAAATATGGTGTTCATCAATGATTCATTTTGGTGTGCGTCCTGCGTAAATTATGCACAAATTTTGCTCAGGACGCATTATTTTAATAAATGTGCATCCCAATGGACGCAATAAATTTATAGAAGAACGTGTATTATTTGGTATAATCCGATTCTAAACTTGACTGATTGCATCATATCCATGTGCTAAGCGATATGCATGAACAATTTTAACAGGTATATATAAGATTGCCAACAACAGGTCAGATTTCACAATTGCAGCCAATTAACCAGCAATTATCAGAAAATATTTGAAAGTTAGATAGCATAGTTCGATTATCACTGATTATAATGTCCATACTGTGGAACATTTCTGAAGCGAATACTATACCTACATGTATGTAAAAGCTATACATGTAACCTGTATCATTTTTTTATTCCTTGCAAGCTAAGAAGTTTAAAATTTAATCATTTTTATTTCTGACTGTTTTTTCATTTCTTCTTAAAATTGCTTTGCTTCATTCTGCTTCTGTGCATTTTATGACTGATACAGTACAATGTGTGAGATCGTATGTACGATCTAAAAATAGAACCAAAGTGCACAGTTGACAATATATTATATTTATGACACAAAATCATGTAGTCTTACTTGGACAATTGATAGTAAAATTATAAAACTACTCACAGCAACAATAAAGCATTTGCTCTTTCGTGCAATAACTTTTTATATTTCACCAGAATTTCCTCTGTAATATCTAATATATGACCCTTGGATTTGGATGCACTGATTTTGTCATTGGACTCATTGTTGTCATTAAGGGGGGTCCTTTGGACCCATGATAACCATTTTCAAAATGAATCACTGGTTCATAGGTCTGGGACTAAAAGTTTATGAGGGCATACTATCTTAATATCACCCACCCATTATCGTCTGATCAGCATGATCAGTACTATTAAGCAGGAAAACAAATATTTGAAGAGACATACTGTAAAAATAATTTTGTAAGATCTTGGAAAACATGTAATTTTGGAAGTAGATTGACATATAAGTATATAATTTTTTTTTTGTGGATAACAGTTGATTAGGGTAGGTGGTCACTGGTGTGATTTTGACCCATTATCTGATTATTTTTCATACTTAAGTTTTGTTCGAGTATATGTCAGTGTTTGTTATGCTACAACGTATTCTGGGTAATTTTCTCTATGGAATACCTTTTTTACAAGATTTCTTCTTTTTTTTAGAATAATTTACTGAATTTGTGAAATACATGTGTTCGACTTACAAGATACATGTGTTGGGTTATTGCTAGTTAGAACAATCTAACTGTGTCTCGGAACAAGCCTTCGATCACCACAGTTTATATGTCCCATATACTAGCAATGTAGCATATTGGAAAGGATCCGCTCAGAAATGATTTTGAAGAATACAAAAAAAATTGCACTGAAAATAACTATCAAATTAATCATAACAAACCTTTTTGAGATTTTATATGCCTTTTAACCTAAAAAATAATCCATATAAATAAGAAAATTCAACTCATTTTCTCAACCTTTTTTCCTCACTTCAAATTTACACGCCATGTTGAATTCGGAACTCTCTGGATTGTTCATAGAAAATGCAGTCAGTTTGAGTTATCGAACTTGCTTATTTTGCTACATTGCCAATACACGGAACGAATTCTATCGTTAAACCAGGTCCATAGGACAATATCATTTTAATGATTAGAACGTTCTATCTAGGTTATTGAGATCACAGCAACAATATATAAACAAAATTAAAATTGAAATTATAATTCGCATCATCTCTTTTAAAATTATTTTGTAAAACCAAAAAATATTGGTTTAAATATACTGACAATAAAAAAAGAGAGACAATAATTCTCAAATTATGAATAACTTTAAAACATTGAGTGCACCTACAAGCACAGATCCCATGATTTGTAATATAATGCACACACAGGCATGTAAACTGAAGTAAATCAAACATATAGATTTTCACTGATTAGCTAATATACATGTAGAACTACCGTAGTTTGAAACTAAATACTCGTACAAATACAAAAGAAAAAAATAATTATTTTCCAAGCAAATAAAATGAAGAAATTAAAAGTTTTTGATTTTATTTTGATTTAAAAATTATCAAAGAATATTTAAGTCGAACTTCATGAAAAGAAAAGCTGAAATCAAAATATTTGTATCAATTTAAATGTCATGCTTGATAAATTTTGGAAATACTGACAGATACACCCTTGCATAACACATATACATGACTAAAATTGTAAATTTTTAGAGACTTTGGATATGCATTGTGTCAAACTTTGTCTCATTTTAATATAAAATGAAAAAATTATAACCGATTAAAAATATTGTGATCTGTATTGTAGCATAAATATTGTGATACCTAATATAGTATATTTATTTAGATATAGAATAGTAGACGAAAGTGTATTATCCCAGCCCTTTATATTTGCAGTGCAGTATAAAACAGTTCAATTATATAATAATGAAGTCAAGAGAATATGGACATGATTATATGTAAATTAATAGATTTTGTTTTCATTTTTGCAGGTGTGTCTGATGGAATTTGTCATTTCATTAATAAATAATGCTGATAAAGATGCAAACTTAGCAATTGTGCCTAAAAAATGACAGCTTTGACAAGGAAATATATCCATATATAACAGTTACTGGTACTGTCTGAATGCAGTGAAAGGATCCAGATGAACAGATGAAGAGATTAAGTACAATGTACATCAATTACTTGGATGAAGAGAATCTGCAACATGGGGTAAGGTATATTTGCTGCTTTATTAGTTATAAACTGTAAATAAATTGTTAGCAGAAAATAGACACAAAAGCTTTAATTAAAGGAAATCAGGGGTAAATACTAACTTTTAAAGCATGCAGATACTCAGTGATAGACTGATAGTTTGATAGTATCATAAAAACCAAAAGAACTTCAGTGACTTTGAATTCCTGATAGCCCTAGCTGTTAATGAACTAGCTGCCCATTACAGCCTTTGGCTGCTTATGGAGTCATGACTTGATTGTTGGGGGGGGGGGGGGGGGGGAAGGAGGAAATGAATTCCCAGTGGAGATGGGTATGAAGGTTAAAAATAGAGCCACAAAGAACCAGGTTATGGTGAGGCAGACTTGCCTCCTTACATTTTATTGTAATTATTTAACCCTTCACTCTTTATGAGTGAAATAATTCTCCAGTGGGACATAAAACAACACTCAATCAATCGGTCACACTTCACTCACTGTTCACAGCACTTGTTGCTCTGTACTGGGCACTACTGGCTCACTTATGCAGGTTAAGTTCAGTTTGGTGTTTACTAGTCATTCCAATGATAAATAAGTCACAGGGATCGACATTAACGGTTGTCCGATTGCCCGGGACAAGTAAATTCTCAGTTCGGGCAAGTGAATCTTGCGACGTACTTGTCTGATTGGGCAAGTGATTTTTTTTTTCATAGAAATGTACATATTAATTTAGTTTACATTATTTATATAAAAAAAAATAAATTGAAGACTTGATTTCCGCCAGGTACCTGACTGACAATGTTTTTGCATTCGGAATTCCTTGTCAGCATTTTTGGATTATACCTTTCATTTGAAAATCGGGTTCGTTATTCCGTTTTTCCCTGGTAAATATGCTGTTCGTCTATTCACTGTCTAACATCTTTCTTAACTTCTTATTTGGACATTAGATTATTTATTTGATCAAAGAATATAAGTACAGTGTAACACGATGTATCCTGATCAAGGTGTGTTACGTAGCAACTATCTTCCTTCAGCGTTGTTTTACAGTTATCTCAGAAAATCACAATTCACAAAAGAATCCAATCAAAAAAAAATTTTAAAAATATGAATTTTATTTATTAAACAGAGGGTTATTGCTACATGTATATGGCAGTGTGTGTTAACAGGTTAAATTTACAAAAGACAGTGGTATACATTTATGTACAAAGGCAGCATTTAAATTTTTTCAGGTACCTCACCTTGCCAAATTGACGGTAGTGTATTTGGTCGCATTTTTTCTTGTCATAACATTTACAGTAATAAATAATTTCTTCTGAAGTTCTTTCCTTATTTTGGGCAACCAAGTTTTGAGTTCGGACAAGTCAAAGTTTGAGATCACTTGCCTGAAGGGCAAGAAAATCTGAAAGTTAATGTCTATCCCTTTAAGAACATTTTTTGTGAGTCGACTGCACAGCAGTGCAACACCTAGGGATCAATTTACCTGGCATCTGTCTGTCTGTCCATCTGTCACACCTTATATCTCGAGAATTGTAAGAGGTTTAATTGTTTTTGATATTTGGTTAATATTTTGCTTGGCACTGTGACTTTTTAGGTCACCTGAGTCACTCAGGTGACCTATTGCTATCCGTTTTTGTCCGTCGTCGTGCGTCGTGCGATGTGCGTTAACATTTGAACATTTTTAGCTTCTTCTCTGAAACCGCTCAACCAATTTCAACTAAATTTGGCACATAGCATCTATGGGTGAAGGGGAACAAAAATTGTGAATTTCATGGTCCCTGCCCCCCTGGGGCCTGAGGGGTGGGGCTAAAACCACCAAAATTAATGCAATCTTTAAAAATCTTCTTCTTTACTCCTGGACATCAAGCAGTCGAACTGTTGGCATCATTGTGATAAGCATTAAGTCCTCTACCAAAATTGTGAAATTCAAGGCCCCAGGGTCAGGGGTTCTGGTGCTAGGGCGGGGCTATATAGATCATATAGTGAAAGTGCATAATTTCTTTGAAAATCTTCTTCTCTGCTCCTGGGTATTAAATAAACTAACTAAGTATATAGTTATGATGAGTAAGAGTGACTCTTCCAAAATTGTGAAATTCATGGCCCCAGGGGCAGGGGTTCTGGTGTTAGGGCGGGGCTCTATTGATTATATAGTGAAAATGCATTAGTTCTTTGGAAATCTTCTTCTCTGCTCCTGGGTATTAAATAAACTAACTAAGTATATAGTAATGATGAGTAAGAGTACCTCTACTAAAATTGTGAAATTCATGGCCCCAGGGTCAGGGGTTCCCAGGTGTTAGGGTGGGGCTCTATTGATTATATAGTGAAAATGCATTAATTCATTTAAAATCTTCTTCTCTGCTCCTGGGTATTAAATAAACTAACTAAGTATATAGTTATGATGAGTAAGAGTGCCTCTTTCAAAATTGTGAAATTCATGGCCCCAGGGGCAGGGGTTCTGGTGTTAGGGCAGGGCTCTATTGATTATATAGTGAAAATGCATTAATTCATTGAAAATCTTCTTCTCTGCTCCTGGGTATTAAATAAACTAACTAAGTACATAGTTAGGATGAGCAAGAGTGCCTCTTCCAAAATTGTGAAATTCATGGCCCCTGGGTCAGGGGTTCTGGTGTTAGGGTGGGGCTTTATTGATTATAAAGTGAAAATGTTTTAATTCTTTAAAAATCTTTTTCTCTGCATCTGGGTATTATTTAAACAAACTAAGTACATTGTTATGATAAGCAAGGATGCCTCTTCCAAAATTGTGAAATTCATGGCCCTGGGGACAGGAGTTCTGGTGCTAGGGCGGGGCTATATAGATCCTATAGTGAAGGTGAATTATTTCTTTGAAAATCTTCTTCTCTGCCCCTGGGTATTGCTTAAACAGGCTAAAGTACATTGTTATGATACACAAGGATGCCTCTTCCAAAATTGTGAATTTTATGACCCCAGGTTTAAGGGTTCTGGTGAAGGGGGGGGGGGGGTTCTATTGATTATAAAGTGAAAAAGGAAAATTTCTTTAAAAATATTCTTTTCTTCTTCTGGTTAAAAAAGCAAAGAAGCTAAGTGTATAGTTATGAAGAGCAAGTGTGCTTCTTCCAGAGTAGTGAATTTCATGACCCCTGGGTCAGATGTGCTGGTGTGAGGGTGGGGCTCTTGATAATTTAGTGAAAATGCATTAATTCTATTAAATAATCCTGTTTGCTCCTTAGTGTCAGGCAGATAAACAAAGTGATGATGAGCAAACATATGGTCCCAGGGTCAGAAGCTCTGGTGTTTTTTTTTTTTTTTGGGGGGGGGGGGGGGGGGCTCTATTGATAATATAGTGAATCTGTAGTAAAAATGCATTCTTTATTTAAAAATCTTCTCTGCACCTGGGCATATCTGAGGCAAACAGAGTAAAAGTTTTTATAAGGAAGGGAATTTTTACCAGATTTTTGAACATCTGGACCATTTGGTCAAGTGTTCTGGTCCTGGCCAGGGCTCTATTAGTTTGTATTCTACTGAGAGGAGTTATTCCCCTTTGCCATTTACCTTTGATAATTTATCACTGTAAATAATGTACTTGAAAGGTAACTAGAGAATTATGCAAAAAACTTTTATTGTATAATACAAAAAGTACTTTCATAGTTTTAATGATCAGATAGACTTGTAAGTAGTAGATAAATAAAAATGAGACAAAAATAACTTGTCTTATTAAATATTCATCAAAGACCAAGAGATGCCAATGTAAGAGATTTCAACAAAGGATTAAAATAGTACAGAAGCATTGATAATTTGTTAATATACTGTATAGTGATAGTAATAAATGGGGAACAGATTAGAACCTAATTTATGAACTGTTAATGAATATTAAGACCAATTATTTTGTTGATCATGATCACCCTATTTTTCTTGCTTTTGGGCAACAAAGCTTCACCTTTCAGTTCATTTTATACTCTATGCATCCTTGAAATTGTTTTATCATACTCAGGTGACCGTTAAGGCCCTTGGGTCTCTTGTTTTAAATACCATGGTTGCCAATCTTGTGACCCTTGAACTTACCTTTAACCTACTTATAAAAAAGTTAGTGCCAATATTCAGCATATTTTTGATAATTTAAAAGAGGTAAGTCTATGCTATTTAGCATGTGCACAATTTGTCATAAATTATAATGAAAAATACCAGCATTACAGTTCACTTGACCTTGACCTTTGTTTTACTTTTCAAAACATGTTCAAAAAATACTTTGAATGGTTAATTTAACTAAAATGTTTTGATTTTCTAGAAGTAGTGTTTTGATAATTAGCATTGATGAGCTCATGACACTCTACTTTGAAACTTTTTGATATCCAGTTATCACACAAACTAAAGCTTAAATCCTATGAAAACAAATCGGGGACCAGTATACCACAATGGGTGGTAATGTAGACTGATGACAATTGCAGTAAAGACAGCCTGATTTCTCTTTAGAAAAAACTGTTGAAAAGATTGTTGACCATTATATGGTGACGACTCTATTTTAGTGAAAAATTCTTAAACAGGATGTAAAACGACATACAATTAAACAATCAATCCAACTACTGAGTGAGCTTTCTAGCTTGTGAACTACCAATTATGTCCAATTGGAAGTAATATTTGAATGTTTTAAAATGTGATTGTACATTGTAGGAAATAATGTTCCTGTAGAAAAGTCAAAGAATGTATACATGTGAGATTCTGAAGTAGCCGTACATGATGAGTAGGAATTTGAAGTGAATTATGGGAAAAGGTATGTAATCCATTAGTTTGCTTTAAAGTTAGTGATTTTAAATCTGAACACACTGTGTAAAAGGAATTTTTCCGCCATATTCCTTTATTCACGCTATATTGTAGGGTCCCTATATAAGCCACTCACTTAGTCACTGTTCAGTGTAATCTGTTGTCACCTGTCTGTATAGACAGACTGACGTATGCTACATAGCTCTCAGTAGCGACAAAAAATTACTGTGTACTTCTTTCACGTACGGCAGGAGAGAAAGATGCCAATGAAACTTACAACAGTTGCACAGGTCAGTGCAGTATACAAACATACACAAGTACACGCAACTGCAATAAAATAAATAAACAAAGGCAATGCAACATAACCAGCATGAGCATGTGTCACCATTCCACTCCGATACCTGTGACAATAAAGCAGTCAGGTGTAACAAATGCAAAGAGTATACCCCGGTGCTGATATAGTAGATGATATATAATCCAATATGGTGTATGCCTATTTATGAGATGTGTTCAGCTTTAATTGATTGTTTTTCTCTGACAGTATGTACCATAGGTCATAGTCATTTATGGTATATACAGTGGCGCCATGTTTATCCGAACACTTCACCTTCCAGATGCTATTTTTCGGGAATAGATTTTTTTCCATGTCATTCTGTCTCATTAATCCAGAAAAATGTGTTCCGCATCCGGACGGTCGATTTCTACTTCAAAACGTAATAGTTCATTGAAAAACTACTCTTTTATCCGGACGGTAATTTTTCAAGAAATGACTTTTTCACACTTATCTTCAGGGGTTGAAATTTTCCTGGAAATCCCACTAGCCCAGGGGCTACTGATCAGGAAAAAATTACTAGCCCAAACTAACTAGCCCAACAATTTTTCTATGCAAAATGAAAACAAAAAGTTAAAGTTTTGAGTGTTTTGGTGACAGAAACAAATTAAACTAGTTCTCAGTCAAAAGAAACCAGTCTTCATAGAAAAATGAAAGTAAACTGACGAGAATTTTTTTTCTGTTCTGCTAGTCCGACAGACTATCATTACATTTAAATAAGCTAGCCCCAGTCTTAAAATAACTAGCCCCGGGGCGTCGGGCTACCGTATATTTCAACCCCTGATCTTGCAGTAGTGTTAATTGTAGTAAAAACATTGGCCATGCAGTCAGTTTGAAGGCGATACCTGTGACCTACAAACAATAGCATCTACAATTAGCGTGTATTTACCCCAATTAAATTACATGTCTAATATGAAGCTCGAAGAATTTAGCTTACACCAGTACACTGTGCATTAATTAAATAAGAAACAGTTCAAAATTAATCAATATTATTTTTAACAAACTTAAGCCAAAGAGGCGTCCGGATCAACAAGGCGCCACTGTATATATTATATAATACATGCATATAAATGTACTTGCTATTAACAGTGAGTACAATAAAATTTTCCCATTAAGTATATTAATTTTTTTCTATGTGGTTTACTTTATGCCCAATTATCAGCAGTTTCCTTAATGGCCATATTTAAGTATAAGAACTAGGTTGCTATAGCAGACAAAAGGTAAATATAAAAATCTTAAGTGCAAGGTACTTTATCACTCATTGAATGTTAATTAGGGCCTGCATGAAATGTTAAAGCTATATAGGATTCACATTGTCCATCTTTATGTCTTTCAGCCAGCAATTAACACTTCAGTTGTGACACAATAAACAAGTTTTAATTTATGCAGTGGAATACTATACATGGTATTGATGCATACAGTAAATGAGATCATTAGAATGGTGTATTTATATACTGTATATACTTGATATCAACAATTTTTCTCAGTGGTCTACTTTATGCCCGATTATAAGTGGTCTCCTCAATGGCCATATTTAAGTATAACATATGTATAAGTACAGGTTGCTATAGCAGACAAAGGTAAATATAAAAATCTAAGTGCAAGGTACTTTATCACTGATGGAATGTTAATTAGGGCCTGCATGAAATGATAAAGCTCTATAGGATTCACATATTGTCCATCTTTATGTCTTTCAGTCCAGCAACACTTCAGTTGAGACACAATAAATAAGTTTTAATTTGATATGCAGTATAATATAATACAGGGTATTGATGCATATATTGAATAAGATCATTAGAATGGTATATTTATATACAGTATATACTTGATATCAAGGGTTTATTCAATTTACTCAATTTTTCTCACTGGTCTACTTTATGCCTAATTATAAGTGGTCTCCTCAATGGCCATATTTAAGTACATGTATAAGTACAGGTTACCATTGAAGACAAAAGGCATATACAAAACTCTAAAGACCATGATACTTTGATACTGATTGAAAGCTGATCTGGACCCTTGAAAAGCACTTACTCTTAGTCTTATTTATATGACAATGTGTGGTTTTGATATAAGTTAACTGAATTACCTAGGAAACCATGGTAACATATTTCTATCTGTTTTTGTATGTTTTTGCATGAGCAAGGGCTTGGGTCATGCATAAACTTTTCACATGTTTCAACTTCTTCTCAAGAACTACTGGACCAGTTTAAATCAAACTTGTCACAAAGTATCTTTAAAATAAGGATGGCAATGATTAACTGGTTTATTAACTATTGAGAAAGATCATAACCAGTTGAAATTTTCATAACCAGTTCTGTACCCAGTTACAATTTACATACTAACCACTTAGTAGATAGTAGGGATGGCAATCGAATACAGAATTGCAAATCGGTTAACCGCAAAACGTTCCGACCGATTAACCGGTTAATCGTATCAAACTACACAATGTCATTTTCTTGACTTTTTTCAAGTAGCTCTATTCCTATGCACAAGAAGTCTTAAAAAAAGATGTTAGAGGTCAAAATCATTCTATTTGTCTTTAGTCTTGATCATAAAACTACGCGCATATTTTTTTTCAATAGACAAGAAAAAATTCAGAAAACCATGAACCATGCCTGAGATATCGTGGATAATTTTCCAGAGCGGATGTCACACAAGTTCATTCTTCATTATGACCATAATCAAAACTAAGTCTAAAATGTATCGCTTAATTTACAATGTTTGTATTATAATTTAATGTGATAGATAACTGCAAAAGATACACACACACCAATTCACGGTGCTCAACGGTGATTATTATCATTAAAGAATTAGAGGACAGTCGTGGTAACGACATGATGTTTTAACAGTAATTAACATATCTCAGACTGACCAATTACCCCGCAATTGTAATCTGGAGAGCCATGATGATCTCCCAATCAGCCTAAATAAATAAATGAAAACACTAAATTAAACGTTTAGGTAGGAATTTCTATTTTGAAAATGAATTTTAGTACATTGCCTTCTGTTTTACATATATTATAATATTTTTTCAACTAATCGATTGCAGATTTTCTAACCGATTGCCATTGTTCCGACCGAGTAATCGGTTAACCAGTTAGAAATTGCCATCCCTAGTAGATAGTTTTTGTCAATGAGTATTTGTATTTACTTTTTCAATAATATTTTCATTTTTTGAAATAAAACTTGTAACATGTTTCAAACTGAAATGTGACAATCAAGCAGTTACCATATCTTGCCGAATGTAATATGCATTGGTTTAAATATGCACCCCCTTTTTCAGCCTACAACTTGGGGAAAATTGCAGCTCGGTTGTAAAGATTATTTGCTACAAAATCTTATTTCTTACAGGGCACAAGTTATTTAAACATTAAGATTTTAACAGACTTGAAATTTCTTTGACAATAACTTAAAGATAAGTCACTTGACATATGATAAGTGTTTGATATGTTGTAATCAACACACACCCAAAGCTTAAAAAAATGAAGAACGAAGGTTATAAATCGACCTCTCAAATATGAAACAGGGCTCTCAATTGTCTATAATTGGGGCCGTTCAAGGGCCCCACTCCCAATTCAAAAAAGGTACCTTTTTTCCCAATTAATGTTTTAATTTTCCCAATAGTCATTTCTCCCAAAAATTAAAGAAAATATAGCTGGATATATACCGGTAATAACTTAACTTGCTATTCATATTCCTCTGTTTTATAAAACAAATTTAGTTGATAGCGAAGACCGGAAACCCAATATATATGATTTTAAAGTACGTATAATGGTTATTCCAAAATTTCCTAAAAGGTCTTTATTTTCCCAATCTTTACAGCCCGGCCCCATTCCCAAAAAGCAGTGTTAGAGCCCTGTGAAAATGAAAACAATTATATGTACATCAAATAAGAAGTGCCCTATCTTGTAAAAAATGTGATTGGAATAGATAGACCATTTCTTTATCCAGGAGAATATCATTACCGCTACATTTTCAATATGGTAATTATTTACCGCTACATACATTACTCATTACCACTGCAAAAAATGTACACATTACCACTACATTTAAAAGTTTACATTACGAATACATTGCCTCTTTCATTAGTCAATGGATTATGCATGTACAGATTGATACAAAGTACATGTACAACATATCCAAGCATAAGACCTTTTTCCACTGCTCACCATGGGAGACAAAAGTACGGCTTAACAGGGTGGCTTTTTCCCACTTTTTTATTAGTCCCCTACCGGTGAAACCAGAGGGAATTATAGGTTTCCTCTGGGTCTGTCCATCTGTCTGTCTATCCCTCTTTCAGTCTGTCCCATTTGTTTTCAGCACTTTTTTCTAAACGCTTGCAGATATTGAGCTGAGTTTTGGTATGTAAGTGTATCTTGATGAGTTACAGTTCAAGTTTGCATTTTGTTATGCTTCTGAATCAATGATTTTTAATGGAATTGTGGCAATTCAATTTTTAGTGGGAACCAGATTACACTTGCCGGTAGGGGACTAGTATTGCTAATGCAATACTCTCAGAATGCTTGTTTAATCTTAATTATAGTAGGTATTTAAGTATGCAAGTACAATACTGTACATATAAATGCTTGTTCAAAATAAAGTTTTTCTCGTAATTTCGGCCCAATGCAACAGAAACTAAAAATTCAAGAACCTATTGGTAATTAATCTGATGTTTTTTAAATAGATTGATCCAAGAAAATTAAAAGTTGTATCCTACTTTTGTTTTTGAAATAATACGAATATTTTAACTTTTTAAACTTTTTCTTTGGAATAGTTGTGCTGTGAAAATAAGAGATACATCCGCATTTTTGGGGTAGCGTTTTATCCATAGGAGCTGCATTTTTCTCGGGATTTTCCCCCCAAAGGATCACTTCTAGGTAAATATATGCGTTGACCTATAGGACTGATATTGGTTTCATTCTTTAGAAAAAGCTTATCAATATCTGTTCCGGTTGCTGACTTTAGGCCACATGCGTGTAGTTTCTTGTTTCTCATGTATCGTTTTAGTTCTAGTCAACTGTGTGTTCATATGACCCTACATCAGTATTTACATATACATCCTTTGTATGAGGGTCCTTACTTGATGCCTGGGTAATGGCAACGGGAGATAAAACCTTAACTGACATTACCACGTTCTTTTCTAATCTGTAAACCTTCCTCCTGCATTTTTGACATAACATGTCGCCAATGCACTCAATTTTCCCCAGGAATGAACTGCATCTACTCTGCATAGCGCAGTATCTCTCCCACTGGCACAACACTACTACTAACCAGAGATGTTCTTGAAAGACAAACACAGCAATTTTTGCTCGTCATGATTTTTTTTTCGTGACACCTGCAGTATCGAGTAACACAAAGTGAATGATTCGTGTCCTCGAACAAAGTGTGCTTACACTGAGGTATACAGTTCCGGTTGATTGCGTTTAGTTAAAGAGAATTTATAATCTGCATTTCCATAAATGTCTTTTATATCAACAGCAAACACACATTTAAAGAAGAAAGTGGAAGTAAAATGCAAAAGCCTGTATAAAAAATTAAAGTTCATGTTTATACAGGTGTAAAATTTGAAAAAAAAAAAAATAAAAGTGTTCCAACAGGTGGATTCGAACCAGGACATAAAAAAAAGGTCCATTCTAAGAATCTGCGGTCTATTTCTCTGCGCTATAATGACTATGAAAATGCGCTCCATAAATGTAATCCAGTATGATAGAACTAGGTTTTTCGCATTTTTTGTAGGTTTTTCACGAATTTCGACCCTAAGGCAAGGGTTCCCCTAAAAAAATCTTGTTTAAAATCATTCTTTAGATCAAAATCTATCAAAAATTCATAATTTAATTTAGGGGCAGGCCTGCCCTGAAGGACTTCTATGCCAAAATTCACGTAAAAATTAGTTCTTTAACGGACAAAATACTGTTTTGACCAACTTTGGAGGTTAATTTCAAAGTTGCAAATAAAAAAAAATTACGTTTAAAATGCAAATTTGAAAAATTTAGACAAATATACAATAGAAAACAACTAAAGAACATTGATTTTTAAATGTGACTTTTTCCTGAAAATAGTTCTTTCCTATAGGTCAAATCTTTTGTTATAACGAATACATCCTTTAGGGGTGTGTCTATTACAAGACTACGGCCTTTACACGTGACAATATGGTACTTCGTCAATATATCTAAATGTTAAAGGCGACAGCATGTATTTTCTTCTTCTCATGTATAAGATTTTAAATAAATTCTGCTTTGTATGAATACAAAAATAGGTTTGATAATAATGGAGCACAATTGGTACCTATGGAAATTTGAAGAGATTTTTGGAATACCTTGTCTCTAAAAACCACATAGATATTGTCAATCAGAAACTCAAGAAATTTTTAATATCAACTTCAGAGTACTTGTGTGTACAGTCAGTGTTTTTTACAAATAATTTTGCAAATGACCAATGACAAGATAAGTTAATTTTTGAGTTCCACTTTTAATGAAAAAGCAGCTGTCAATAAACAAATCTCTCATCCATACAAAAAACAAAAAAGCATACCAAGGGTGATAATCTCAAAATTTAAGCATTGATCTGTTCGAAATAATTTTTTTTATTGACATACGTTTAAGGATAAACAACAATACTTGATATCGCGATTACTGAAATTAGCGGAACTCTTTCACAGAGGTAGGAAACGTCTGTTGGATGGGGGCAGTGTACTATTGAATGCAATGCATGATCGATCATTGTGGAATTTATAAGGACTGATAAGAAAGAAATCCTAGAGAAATATCTTGCTAAACATGCGCTGAACCAGCCTAATAAATTTTTGAGAGGAGCTAGTCCTATATGTTACATTTTTTACGATACTTTTTACTAAGCGGACTTTTCTTATTAAATTCTAAATGAAAATCATTACTTTTGAAAGTTGATAAAATACTCTAAACTTTCCTTATTTGACAATCTACTATTTGGAGTTCAATTCTTGGCAATACATTGTAGTTTGGGCATAATGATTGTTCGAATCATTCCATTGTCACCACTGTAATGTTATGCCCCAGAAATCTTGTGAGATTTAGAGCTTCCTTGACTCCCATGCTAAAGAGCGGTTGTAAGTTAGATAACTGAGAGATACTCGCAATACTGGTACTTTTAATTCAATTCACATGTGCTCACCTTTGAAATGCATTCACAATTCTTTATAAAGTTGGTGACATTATGTATGAAAATATCATAAAGTCTAGTTACATGTTTAAACTATGCTTGTGGTATGCATTTTTTTTCTTGAACAGTAAAGGAAGGGATGAGAGAGTTCATTGATTGCCATAAACTTTCATTTATATGTTTTTTTTTTAGAGATGGAGTACTACACAAGCACAATTTTTTAAAGAAAGAAAAGTCAATGGAATGAAAGCCAAAGAAAAGGTGAAGTGAATTGTCACTCATTATATTTTAAATTTAATGTGGACATGGTCATTATTTTAGTTATGTCATAACCTTCTTATCAATTTTAAGCAGTGCAGACAGATGCATTTCTTATTGCTTTGAATAGAATAAATTATCAAAAAAGTTTGTATATGTTTTTTGATATTGAATTAAAATTAAAAAAAAAAAACAAATTATCAATTACTGCAGTTTTGAATTTCAGTACACTAGAAATTTTTCTGCCCTGCCATGAATATGGCTGGGGCATATAGAGTTTGTCATGTCTGTCTTCCGTCCTTCCAACCTTCTGTCTGTCCTTCCATTCCCCTTTGCTTTTAGCTCAGTTCAAAACTAAGTTTCAAAGAAACTATTCAAGATATTTTTATCAATCTTCATATGCTGATACATATTGATGAGAGGTATTCAATTTCATCAACATTTTTTTTACCTTGACCTTTCCTTTAACTTTGACCTCACTTTTCTTAAATTAGTGTTTAGCTCAGTTTTAAAGAAACCATTCAAGATAGTGTAATCAAACTTCATATGCTGATACATACTGAATCAACATTTTTTACCTTGACCTTTCCTTGACCTTGACCGTACTTATCTTAAATAAGTGTTTAGCTCAGTTTTAAAGAAACCATTCAGGATAGCATAATCAAACTTCATTTGCTGATACATACTGATGAGAGCTATTCAACTGCATCAACATTTTTTGATCTTGATCTTTCCTTTGACCTTCACCTCACTTTTCCTAAATTAGTGTCAAACTTCATATGCTGATACAGACTGATGGAAGGTATTCGACTGTATCAACATTTTTGACCTTGACATTTCATTTGACCTTGACTTCATTTTTCTTGAAATAGTGATTAGCTCAGTGTTAAATAAACGGTTTCCATTCAAAATATTTTTATCAAACTTATTTTGCTTATGCATATTAGTGAGAACTATTCAACTGCATCAAAAATGTATGACCTTGAACTTTCCTGTGACCTGGACCTCACTTTTCTTAAATTTGCATTTTGCTTAGTTTTAAAGAAACCATTAAAGATAATTTTATGTGAGCTTATGCACTTAACAGAATTTGGTGAGAATTTATCATCTATATCCAACTTTTTCGATTTCAATGTTAAAGAAACTATTTTAAGATATTCTCATCAAATTTCATACACTAAAAATATTTTTGTGTTGCATTACTAATATGCCCACATGGTGCAGTGGTTAAAGCTCTAGAGTTGCGGAGTAAGGAGTTGATCCTTATGTCGCTGGTTTGAATCCCACTGTGGGACGTGGAGACCGTATAAACCGAGGTCCCATGTCACAGTAGGTGCTGGCACGAAAAAGATCCCTCACTGCTTAATGGCCCTTAGTGCCGAGTATAGGTCAAGATTTGCAGCTCTCCACTGGCAAGTGGTGGCGTCTCCATATGAGTGAAAAATTCTCGAGAGGGATGTTAAACAATAAACAAGCAAATAAAAATTAATATACCCTCAGCGGGGCATTCATGTCCTATGGACATATTTCTAGTTTTGCCCTCTTGTACATTTGTACATGGATATACTTTTTATTTTTGCTCTGTAAGCAACAACAAAAACATTATACCATAAAATATGCACAAAATTATATGCTAGGAATGTATTGTGAAAGATGCATTTCAGCTGACAAATGTAGCATCTTGAAGCCAGCTTTTTAAATTTTTTTCTGAATGACTTTCAGGTACTTCTTTTATATTTGCAACTCATTTATAGGGATGTATTAGTATGGTAGCCTGTCTGCCAACACCTTGTAGATGAGATTCTAGCACAAATTGTGTGAAATGGTTCTCTTAATTGACATGAGAAGGTCACCATTTTTTATCAAGATAAAAATTACTTGTATGTCTTGTAATAACATTATTTAATGTATCCCTTTCATAGCACACATGTTCCTTTCAAAGAGAAGAAAACATTTATAATTTTTCAAGGTCAATAATCTCATGGATGAAATGCAAACTGTACTATTTGAAAAAGGTGGTATAGGTATTTCAGAGTCTGTATTACATCTTGCCAGTTTATTGTTCGAGGGAATATTCTCATCAAATAAACTATGTAAAGATTTGCTTTTTAATGCAAAGTATTTTTATAAGTAATAACTTCATTTCAACTTACAATGAACAGTTAATCAATGCATCTCACTTTGTATATAATGCATTTTAGAACACACATTTGTGGTTTAAAACATGTTGTAATAGTTTAATAATGCTATTCATTTTTTTTAATTGACAAGAAATGAAAATGTAATGATTATTTCAAAATAGTGTTTTATTCCTCTTATGTATATTTATAGATACGTAAAAGATTGTTATTTTTATTGATGTTATGTTTGTGTACAAAATACTAGTTATTTATTACTTTATACAAAACTAATGTTGTGAAGATTGATAATAATAGAAGTCCTTATGCATATATTGAACAGTATACAAATGTCACCAATGTAATACACATTTACATTTTATAAAATGAAATTTTACATGACTTGCACATATTTGCATTATTTGTTACAGTTATAACAAATCTAATTCATTGTATTTATGGTTTCCAATTTTTATTGTCTATTCAAACATGGAAAAATTATATGTGTAATGATGTTAAAGACACAAGAATATGAATTAAAATAAGACTGTATGAACTACCTTTAGATTTATGAATTCAGTAGACAGTGACTGTGACAAATGTGTATTTAGGATAGAGATCTTAGACATGAGAAGAAAAGGGGTTGTTTTACAAACTTTTTTTTTGCATGGGGAAATATTGACATTTTTATACAACAACAAATGAAGTTACTGGAATTGTGAAGTCTACATGTATTCTGTGAGTAGACATCTTTTGAAACAAAGGTAGCTTGTGGCCAGAAATATTCTAGACCCAGTAGTAACGGTCTTTTGCACAAGGTCATAGTCACTGTATATCAAAGTATGAAATACTTACCAATAATTTTTTGTAACCTCAGAGTATGGTCCTAACACAGGTTAATACAGGTCAAGGCCATAGGGTTTAGAAATGTAATAAATATTCAAATAAACACATAATTCTGTTTGTTTGTTTGTTATACATCCTTTAAGAATTTTTCACTAGTATTGAGACACCACAACTTGCTGGTTGAGGGCTGCAAATTTAGACCTGTACTTTTGAGCAGTGAGAAGTCTTTTCTTGTCCCAGCATATACTGCAACAAGGGAATTTGGTTTCATTGGAAGAACCGGTCTCCACGTCCTTCAGTGGGATTTGTACCTATGACTTAAGGAACAAGTCCTTACTCCACTACTCTAGAGCAAATGCTCTGACCACTGCGACAAGCGGGCAATCACATTATTGTTATACTAGATGTAAATCAAGGCAAAGGGATAATTGTGACTTGGGGATGTATAACAACCCTGCATCAAGTTCAATTTTTGTCCACTGTAAAATAACTTCCAAAGATTATATTATCTTAGGGTTCATTATGCTCAGAGTATATGACATAAACTGGATATATAAAATTCTAAAATACAATTTTTTTTAGAAAAGTACAAGGTTATAGTTTCAAGAGGTCATATCTAGCATGTACAGGTGATTGTGGCTTAGATGATGATTTTATACCATAAGTCATCATGTGAGTAGGAAGTTTTAAATCAATGTGTTTCTTTGGTGGTGGATGAAATATTTTCTTAACGTTACAATTACTATCGGTCATTTACTATATTTCCATAAGATTCAGGACATGAAAATTTGTCTACGAATAGACATCACCCAATTAGTTCCTTCTAGTTAAAATAAGGAATCATCATACTGGGTTTTAAAGTGCCTAATATTTTACTTAAGATAAATGCAAATTGACCAATAAATACTGGTATGAGAAGTACATTTATGCATGTGTAGTTTTTTTATTAGAAAATTAGAAAAAAGAAAATGGTCTACATAATCATGTATATATATATATTCTGGTCTCCTTTATGCATTATATATACTTGGTCTACTTTAACCCTTCGGGATCCTCATAAAATATATACATGTCTACCTAAAACCTCCAATGTATTTACAAAATATTAAGGAGACCAGAAATGTCGTATATTATTCAGGAAGCAACATTTAGGGCTGAGGGGGTAAAATTTTCATTTTTGAAGCCTATTAGAATAAATTTGGGTGAAAGTGTGAATCAGAATGTCTCAAATAAAAGAAATGAAAAATGTCTACTTAATGCCTCAAAATAAGTGCGGTCTACTTTATGCCAAAGTCCACCTTATATATATATATATATATATATATATATATAAAGATGATATAGTTTCAAATGAATCAATATAAAAGTGCGCATTAAAAATTTATCTTGCACAGCAGATTATTGTATTGTTCCGAGACGATTCTTATCAAAAGAAAAAAAGACATAATTAGTTTAACAGTAAAGAGGTCATTATCCGTAGAAACGTGCAGTTTACCTATGTTTACCTGCATGGTTAAGATGTTTTAATTATAAAAAATCACTATTAAAATGTTTTAATTATTTACTCATATATTTATTTATTCATTCATATAGGACGGAGAACTTTTATCCAAACACTGAAAACGTTAATATAAAACAATGTTTTACAATAAAGAAAAAATATTCGGAAACTAAATTAACGGGGCAAGTTTCGCTATGAAGGGGAAAGACTGACTATATAGTGAGACTTTCCCCCGGAAGACGCTATGCATAGTTAGACTTTCCCTGGAAAAGTCTCACTATATAGCTTGTCTTCCGGGGGAAGTCTTACCATCTAGTCAGCCTTCAGGGGGAAGGACACCGGGTACATGCCTGAACCAATAACATACATCATTTGAAAATTTGGGTTCGATTGATAAAGTATTAAGGCAGAAAATTGAAAAATAAGCTCGGCCCGGGTTTGCGTACCTAATTTTACCAACACTCGCAGCGAACACCCTGCCACCTAGCGTTATAATGCCGCATTAAATTCACACTACTTGCATTCGTCTGCGTTGAATGCGCTTAATGGTTTGCATGACTGAATTTACATTTGTAATAGAGATGATCATAATTATTTATTAAAGAAACCGTATCAATTTAAAAGAAAAAAGAACGTATTTAGAAGAATAAAGCAACATAGAAGTAAGGACAAAATGAAGAATGAAAAAAGTTCAAAGTGAAATGTAATAAAGACGAATATGAAAACAATAAAGTGACATATAGTTACAATAATAACAAAGAATAAAGAAGTAGGCAGAATAAGAATAAAAGCAAGATAAATAGACTTTTGGCGGTAATTCCCTTCCATACTCCACTTCTTTATGTCGGATTAACCTATACATCAACACCCTACCCTTTTAAAAACATTCTATGAGCAGCTGGACTAGGTCTAATTAAAGTGTAAGAGCATTAAGGTACCTCCGCATAGTAAGCCATTGTATGAGGGGCAATTCCGGTCATTACATTCACATCTTTCTCCGCTGTATCCCTCAAAGCAATCACACTTTCGACAGGTACAATTACCTGCATTGCTGCAAATTCTGTAATATTCAAATGCAAAGATAGCGAATTACTTAATATGGAATAAGGGTGAGGATATATAATGTATTACTTCATGGGCTAATATTACAAAAAATTCGAGTATGACTTCATAAAGTAAAAAAAAATAAACGAACAACTTCTTTGAGAAGCGCTCATCTCTTCACAGATTGTCTTCAATATTTTGGTGTATAAAATTAACATTATCAGCTCTTATACGTATACACAGAGTTGAACTTCAATATCTCGAACACAGATAGCTTTAATACCATAGATATGTCGAAATAATTTGACATCCTAATCACTTATTAATCATTTAATATTTAGGTATTTAACCCTCAATATCTTGATCCTTGGATAAGTTTTTCCTAGGTCCCATTGAGTTCGAGATAACGAAGGTTTACTGTATATTCATAAAATATCTTTAAACTGAAATAATTTAATTCTGGTTATAACGCAGTATTTGATTGAATAAAAATTTACTTTATATCGTATAAATTGAGTTGCCTACGTTACAATGACTTGCATCTAAAACGTATCGATCCGCCTGACGTTACATTTAAATTTTGTGCAATTTGAAGTCTTTTTTAAGGGCAATCATCTTTTTTCTTACAATAAATGAATGAAAATTAAATCATAAGGAATGAAATTTATAGCTACCTTTTTTTATAAACCGCTTCGCGGTTTATAAAGCGTAAACTGTCCCAACCCACTTTATACGGTATAAGCAGCTATTAAATTCATTCCTTAAATAAAATTCAAAACCAATTAAATGCGTCACAATATTTATCATATTAAATCTACGAACACAAACGGCAGTATTATTATATAAATGTACCCCGATTCCGTTCCACAGGCGTCCATAGTCGTTCCCCTCTCATCACAATCACAACTTTTTCCTGACCACCCGGCATCGCATTGACATATACCACACTCGTATGTACCTCTACGATTACATCTAGTACTGTTTCGTTCCTTCGAAAACATACAATGATATTCCATAGAATAATAATAACACAAGGTATCTAACTCAAAATTACATGAGTACCAACTATAGAGAAAAATCCTTTTTTTTTAAAATCTATCATTCTAAACACCAGAAGAAATTACCATATACTTAAATTGTTGAAATAAACTCATGTCTACACACTTTTATTGCCTAGTTACCATAGAAACTAATAATTTTTTTGGCATTCTATCAAATATTAAATTCTAAGAAAGCATTGTAAACTTGGAATTGAAGGGGAGAGGGGGTGGAGCACTGGGGCTCATATTTCATTGTGCAAAATATGGGAAGAAACAGTTGTTTGTTTATAAAACCTGTCAAAAACCATAACCAAAAACGTGGGAATAAAATCTAAATCGGTAGATTGATTGATTGACTGTATGTTGTTTTACGTCCCATTCGAGAATTTTTCACTCATATAGAGACGTCACCATTTACCGGTGAAGGGCTTCAAATTTTGACCTTTACTCGGCACTCAGGGCCATTGAGCAGTGAGGGATCTTTATCGTGCCAACGCCTGCCGTGACACGGGGCCTCGGTTTTTAAGGTCTCATCCGAAAGACCCGCAACTTTCACTTCAAAGTGCCGAGCGCATGGCGAAGGAACAGTTGCTACCCATTTTATCGACTTGGTTCTGTCGCGGCCGAGATTCGAACTCACGACCTCCCGATCACGGAGCGAGCGTCTAAATCGGTAGAAGAAAGTGGGATAATTATAATCATAAAATAAGAACATATGTAAGCTTTTTTTGGAAGGGGGGGGGGGGAGGTTCCGTGTACAAGTTAGTCTTAATTATCATTGATATTAACGAATGGGGGTATTGTTGTACTTCTTTATTATACATAATCGCTGAATATGTCCCTGATTAAATTTTATGCATCATTTTTTTCTAGACCACTTGTTCTTAAAACTATACTTGTTCCAATAACCAGTATTCGATGTAATTTACAGTAGTACAGTTTGCAATGTTTACTTTTTGTTAATTCAGTCAATTGTTTGTTTTTTCAGTCCATTTTCTCTATTTCCGATTTACGATCACAGTAATTCTTAATGTACTTTAATAAAAAATAAATATCATTGCACTGAGAGTGCACATTTGACATATTTATCGAAATTAGCACTTGGAATCCTAAATCCTTGTGCAAAAGCCCGTGACCATGACCAAAAAACGTATATATGGAATTGAATAAGAAGTATAAAAGAGAAATAGTGCCGATAATGTCTTGCATGTATACATACGCTGTATAATAGTTTGCGTGAGAGCGGTATCATTTAGATATGTCTTCGAGGGTCGCCTAAAAATCGATTAACAACATACATAAAAACTAAGCCATTGTTCCACCTATCCTAAGCTAAAATCAAAACGCTGGATTAAAATTAAAATTTAGATAAGATCTACCACTTCCGGTTCTAGCTGACAGTCACAATCACACACGTGTTCCACCTCTATCTGAACTCGCTCCTCCAGACCCTCGGGAAAAATGGTCAAATCCACGCTCCTCTTCTCAGGGCAAACCGTGAAGTTGGACGTTATGTACAGTGTAAAATTTGTCTACCAATACAACATAATTAAAACATAATAATTTATTCCTAGTTGGAAAGCACCATTTGACTTGATAATGAATTTGAATAAAAATGAGTTGCCTACTTTCGTCAAAATGGTATTGATATGCCTGACGTTACATTTAAATTTTGTACAATTAAAACTCATTTAAAGGGGCAATCATCGAATTTACTCACACTAAATGAAGGAAAATTTTATTATAAGAAAATGAATTTATTAGCTACCCAATTTATAGGGTATAAACTGGATTGGAACAGATTACACTTTTTTTATAAATCGCGAAGCATTTTTTAAACGAAAACTGTACAGCCCAGTTTATTTTGTATAAATTGGGTAGCAGTTAAATCCATTCCCTAAATAAATATAACTATCGATTAATTAAGAGCAGGTTTTTTTTTTTGTTTTTTTGTTTTTTTGTTTTTTTTTTTTGATCAAGAAACAGTCATTTAATTTAAAGTTACGAACTGCATTTGAGTTTAACTTGAATTCACTGACATAATTTGGAATTTCATTTTAAAATTAAGAACCAGCATTGATATATCTAGATACACCTTATGAAAATTGACTGCAGTTTAGTTAAATTATTCAGATTTATATACATTCATGTTTTACCAATTTGTCTGTAGTCAATCCTTGGCAAATGTTTGTTTTATCTAAGTTGCGTCTGTGAAATTCAAACAGAAGATGTTACCAATCGGAGAAAGATTTGAATTTTACTGCTAAATTGATTTTCGTACATGATTCAGAATTTGAAACATCTTTTCAACTTACCCTCCTGTTTTGCAGTTTGTGTATATCTCTACATTCAATTCTTCGGGGATACCACTGTTAATTAACTTTACTGTCTCTCGAAGACGCTGCAATTTTTTTTTTTACAATTTTAAAACACATGTACCATCATTATTGAAAAAAAAAACGTAACATACCCTCCGCTTATTTTGGTGAACTACAATTTTATACTTTTAAAGCAGCCACAATTCTGCTTATTCCTGTTAATTGCCAAAATGTGAAACATGAAAAAGGTGTAGATAACGAACAGTGATCGATATCCTAAATCCTTTCAAAAAAACAAATCGTGAACAGGACAAAGAACACTGACCACTGGAAACACCATAGGTGGGATCAGGTTCCTAAGAGGAGTAAGCATACCCTGAAGACCGGTCACGTGACCCCTCTGTATCAATCAGTTAAACGGCGTTATCATTAGTTTTTAATTAAAAGAATTAAAAGAATGATCTACCAATTGGTATGAAATCTGTCAGTAAAAACTTGCAAACGAAGTCATTATAACGACCGTAGATTTTGCAAAATGCTGACTTTATACGATATTTTGTGAAAGCCTTGTAACATCTACTTATTTATCAGCAACCGGTTTTTATGCCATGCTTATTAAGAGTCATTCTCTGTAAACAATTAAACTTTTGGCACGCATGATAACGGATTTTCTTGAAACTTCATGCAAAATCTTGCCTTTATCCTTCAGCTATAAATTGATAGTTATTTGGTTGCTATGGGTTTCTGTTTCAATATCAATGGGCCAAAAAGTTAATGTTCATTTGATTCTTCATTGTTGTTATTTGCTTGAACAATTATGAGCATAACCATACATGTAGAAATGACCTCTAATTGTTTTAGATAATAAACTATGGGGAATCCTCGTAATATAGGTGTCATTGTGGTAACTTTTAAATAACCTCTTGAAAGTAAAAAAAAAAATCAAAATTCAAAAGTCTCAAGCAATTAATTAAAAGAATAAAAAGATCAAAAGACATTTAAAAAATGTAAATAATTCCATAGGAAAATCATCAACTCAAAAATATAAGTTTTTAACAGGTGTCTTGGTTGCCTTGGGACGTATGACAGGTCTTCTGTCACGATTTTTTGCATTGAAATTTCGGAATTATCTTTCAAATTCTTTTTTTAAAAAACACATATTTTAAAAAATCAATGGAATTGCAATGATTAGACATATATTTAATAGTGTAATATACAAGGATGTTTGTAAAAATATGTTTCGAAAGGATGTTTATCATAGAAATAATATCTGAATAATTCAGAAGGTTTAAGCCATTTTCATCTTAGAATTTACATGTCACTTGATCTGTGATTTTTATTCAAAATCTACTTAAAGAATTCCCAATTATCAGATTTTTTTTAGTGAACATTTGTTTGAATGCCGTTAAGAATTCAATTAGATTCTATGGTACTTATACTTAATGTCAACAGATTTTATTTTCTTGTAATTCCTTTTTGCATTTACAATTAACCTACAATTAAATATGTACTTTTTACATTATCTTAATAATTTTCAAGAATCATGCATAATTCGTTAATGCTGGTTGCTAAATAAGGTTTAAAATGCCTCCTTTTTCTTTGTTTTGTTCCATTTCAACCAAAACCATGTCTTTGTCATAATTATTTGAATCTTCAATAAGTCATAAATTCCATTTTCTATTTTTTTTGTAATTATTATCAGCTGCAAATATTCAAAAGACAAATAAATCAACAAAAAACCCACCATGTAAATGTAAAATTTTTCGTATCTTTTCATTGTAACAATATAAATTGAACATGTTTTCCTTGAAGGTTTTAGTAAATATGAAAGATGAAGTTTTAAACATTATATTTCAGCAATAATTATAGTTCCACTTCGCTGCAATATATATTATAAATTTTAAAGACGTCTTACCATATACCAAACCAATTGCATTTATTGACATCAATTATTCCCGTGCACTAAAGTAATAGAAACCTCTTGCAACACTTCTTTCAAAGCCATTAATTAATTGATATCTTCAGAACTTCCTGTCAAAAAGAATTCAGTGCACTTTATTTCATATGAAAAAATTTTGCTGATTTTCCCCTTTTTGTATTGTTTAAAGACTTTTCTTGAGATCGATCACTGTTCGCTATCTTTAACTTTCTCATCCATGTTACCCTGTAGTTATCTCTAACAATATTCAAAATGTTTGAAGAATCTGTGGATAACGCTGATGCATTGTTGACACCTCCTGGTAAAATGGCGCTCAGGTCATCATAATAGAAATTTCTTATGAATTGATTATTTTCTCCACCAATTACAAATATGACATTGATGTTATTCTCGCGAGCTTTCTGAACGATTTGTCCCACTGAAGGATAATCCTGCAAAAGAAAAGAATGCTCCCATTTGCCTCTTGACCTGTGTATAACTATGTAAAAAAGGAATCCTTCCTCTGATAAGGAAACAAGTTATATATGATCGCATGAACAAGTTTTGATGCAATTTCCCATAGAAAGTATTTTGCATTAATTTAATTTGTATCATATGTCGAGTTTTTATTTTGAAATTCAGTTTTCGCGATAAAGAAAAAAATTAACACGTTTTCTGTTTAGCTGTATGTTTTTCTATAATCAATTAAGTCTATAAACTTTTTCTAAAAGTTTAGAATGAATAGTTCAAGCATCTAAAATTTACATCAATCGACATTATTACATCATTGGCAAAAGAAACACACCTGTATTTCTGCCTTCGTATATTTGCCAGTGCCATCTAAGTGACAAAGGCAATCGTTTGGTTCTAGGATGCCAGCAACCTACAAAAAGTCTGTAACTGGATATCATTTCATATTATATATACAACATACCATTATGAAATCGGACGAGTGATCAAACAGACAATACACAAGTAACAATTGTTAAATTTTCCAAATTCAAGATAATTATTAACTTTGAATTTAATCACTAATACTAGATTAGTTTTTTTTTTCTGAAAGGAAAAAGGAACGCAGGGTAACATAATATGCGAAATTTTTTTGACTATATAACCGAAAATTATGAAAATTGGTCAGAGGGATATCTTGGTTACTGTGCATTAAAATCAGTGTTCAGAACTACTCAACCATGAAATGTATGACGTCACATAAGGAAAGTGGTAAAAAGCCGAAAACATGTCGATGACGACGTTTTCCAACACATTCGTAGTACCAATTGCTGCACTTAAGTTATACACATCGTTTTTCCATATTTACAGTCGATTTGAATTTCTTGATATCAAGGTACGGTTGACGGAAGTACCATGGGGTCTGGCTATTGCATTGCCTAAGAAAGGACAAAGGCAACGACATGTCTCTGTGCAGTGTGTTGTGAATTTTTCCACAATAGAACGTTTTACCCGTCCTCAGAGAGGGTGTAGAAAGGTTTCCACCAACTATGACGATGAAGTTGACGCGTAACAGCGCCATGTCAAGATCGGGCCCTTCATCCTGCCACCTGTATAATCACCATAGCATTACCCTAAAACTGCTATTGATACAGCAGGCTATCATAATCGTTACATTCACCCCAAAACTGAAGGAAATCCATAGGGCGATTTTGGTTTGTGAGCTCGTCAACTTTACGTAAGTGTTACTCTAACTCGCGCATGCTTGCGTCGTTTGCCTATTCTTTGGGGATGTTAACCCCCTCCCAATGCTGCCAAGGTTTGTCAAGATTTTTTCGCAAACAATTACATTTTTCAACTTGACTGGTCTCATTCAAGTCCATCTTTTTCGCATCAAACGTCTGTGGGACTACATGGACGATAGGGTTTTAAATGTCCAAGCTGGTCTTAATCAACTAGGGACTGCCTTCTCGGAAGGGTTCAATAACATCCCTATTAGAAGGATAAACACACTTATGTACTCCATGCATAGGAGAATCAAGGCTGTGACAGATGCAAAAGGGAGACATGTGAGATAATGAGAATATTCATTTATCACTTTTGGGGGTACAGTCATATGAGTTTCAGTGACTCATGAATTATTGGGAAAAATCAAATGAGATTTTGGTTTCATTTTTATTAAAGATGACTTTAAATGATAGATAGGATAACTGGAAAATACGTCTGAAATATACAACCTTATTCCACATGAAAAGTTTACCCTGCGTTTCTTTTTCCTTTTACTATATAATTTTACCATTACTTTTCCCTATATAAAGTAAACAATTGTTATTTATCAAACACGGATATATAAATAGTGAAATCATGAAAACAAGGAAGACATTATAAATCAACCAGTATTTAAATATACCAGATTATGACAAGGATTCAGCGAATTACAGGGAAAAAAGAAGCAATTTCAGTTGTCCCATGTAATTTGCTGTACACGTTTTACTATACCCTGCCGTCTCCAGCCTGGTGGAAATTTATGTCTGTAGCATAGAGAACTATCCGTCTAGCTTTATTCCTCCAACCTATTCTTTCCTGTACATATAGAACAAATATGAATCCAGGTTCGTTTTCCCAAATGAATTTCAATTACAGTCAATTACAGATGATATTTAAGAGACGAATTCAGAGGTATACCAATGCTAAACAATCTTAATTAATCTTAATATTCTTAATTTACATATTATTGAACTGGCATACTAGTTTTAATACTTACCCCACATACCATGACTTGCATTAGTCCATCGAACAATCCTTCTACTTTGTCTTGATTTCCAGTTGTATTTACACGACTTAAAGCAATCTGTAGAAATGAATGTATATATCTAGCAAACGCTTATGTTTTCTTGGAAAGAGCAAGGCAATAAGAAAATAAAAACTCTCCGTATTGAAAACTCAAGATAAACCTACAAACATTAAGGTTTCAATGGGTTCGAAATATACTTGTCAAAATATAGATATTTTAATTATGTAATGGTCTTACAAATAAAGCATTTTAAATGTAAGTACAGATAGAAAAAGGCATCAGTTATATAAAATGCATCGTGTACAGTTTAAATATTTGCGATTTACAAGATCTGTATAGAGTCATATAGACCTTCTAGAATTTTTTCCAGTGAAAACATAGAGCTTACTGGTATGTTTTATTATAACTTAGGATTTTTTTTTCACAAATCTTAAATAAAAGACTTAACCAAGTGATGTGGCCTGCTATCCTCTTCTTCACACACACACCCTCACACACACACACACACACACACATACACACAGATATATATATATATATATATATATATATATATATATATATATATATATATATATATATATATATATATATATATATATATATATATATATATATATATATAAGGCTTGTGTTAAATGAAATTTGGAAACTGTGCATTTTCTTTTTCTTTTATGATTATTTTTTGTGTGACATCATCTTTTAACTACTTTTGAATTTTATATATATATATATATATATATATATATATATATATATATATATATATATATATATATATATATATATATATATATATATATATATATATATATATATATATATATATCCATTTTGTGGAACTTAGTTTCAGACAGATGCGTGATATGATGAATCTGGATATGATTACTGTGACCCCCTTTTCACTAGGAAGATAAATTTTATTAAACAGTGATTTTTGAGATTTGGTGATTGGATCCTGGATTTATGTTTGTTTTTAAAATACAGCTTAAAAAAAATTCACTCAGAGTTTTAATACTGAATTACAACTTACATATTTCGCAACTTGAAATGAAAAATTTTATCAGAATGTGAAATGTATTTGTTTATAAAGGAAAACTCAGTATGAATTCAATGTGATTTCAACCAAATATCAACATTTGTACAACCAAAAAATCTCAACCAAAAGTCAATATAATTTCAACCAATGTTCAACCTTTTTTCAATGTTGATATTTGACGTTGAAACAACGTTGGAGTTTCAAAGTTGCCTCAACTTTCATTTGCAATCAAAATTCAACTATAAATCAACCCATTTCAACGTCTTTTCAAAGTTGAAAATTGACGTTGAAACAACGTTGATGTCTCAACGTTGCCTCAACTTTCATAAGCAACCGTTGATTCAACGTTGAAGTGCAACGTTGATTCAACTTTGAATCAACGTTGAAATGCCTGCTGGGTAACCTTATAAATACTGGATACAACAGAGGCTTTTTTTTTCAATTTAAGCAACATATGATTACTTATAATATCAAATAAAGCATACCTGAAACTCGTTTGTGTTATTGGTCAGCGATAGCCGATGTATAAAAGAGTATGGTTTGTCACACGGGTCGGGTCCACAAGGATTCTTGAGACTGAAAACAATATGGCAAATCAGAACAGAACTAGGTAAAAAATGTTCCATTGAAGGAGCAAGAGAAAATAAAGCAAACATTAAAACAGAGTTCCTTTTTCATATCAAACCACATTTCATCCATTTTGTCTACAAAAAGTACTGGGCAAATGTTTTATATGATCCGAGTCCATATTTTTATCTTCTTCTTCTAACGGTAAGCCGCCACCTTCAAAATGCTGACTATTGTGCCACAGGTGTGTGCATATAAAAAATGTGGATATACATTTACAGGTGAATAAGACACAAAATTTGGGTTCTTATTGACGAAGACAAGCCTTTATGCAGCCAAGGTTAGCAGCCATCACAGTAGGGCTGGGTAGGGCGTTCCACTTCTTGATGGAATAAAATCCATAAAACCTTCTTCTTACACTTGGAAAAGTGAAGCATTTTCGTTTTAAATAAGATTTTTATTTCAAAACTTTACTATTTATTCTTTTTCAATTCTTTCATCTCTAAGCTTGATTTGATTTTTCTTGACCCATAAAATATCAAAGTTTGTTGTAAATAACCATGAAAAGGAAAGGAAACTATTACACAATTCAAGAGGTCAAGAGCTGGCGTACATCAGAAAACAATCCCAATTCAATATTCATTTTACTTATTTTCATTGTATTTAGAATGATACTTGCTTTTTTCTCCAATGAATAAAGGAAATACATGCAATATATTTTAAAATGTCTTCTTACCGATAGGGATCTTGTTTGGTAAAGGGATCTATAACTTTATCCATAGCTGTGCCGAGTCCAAATCTAAAATCAGTCGTAATTGTTGCGATGTCATCAGCTGAATTAAATCAAATAGCTTTACGTTTGCAAGAAACCTTCGAAAAAATAACCGTGTCAGACATAATGTACTTTTAAATGGCATTTATTCTTACAACAATAAAATTGATAAAAATCTTGCTATTATAAAGGAAAATTTTTATTATAAGAAACATGTATATCTTATCAATATGTTAAGAAATACTGCCAATCAAAGACAAAATAGTTCAACTCCTATTTTAAAAGAGTTATAGAAAATTAATCTTTTTTGATACCGATTGCTCAATGTAGGGAGTGCAATGGATGTGTTTTGACACAACCATATGCCATTTTATAAAAATCAAAACAATGATAATCATTTTTATCACTTTTGAAGTACTCCACTTTTATTCAGTAATTAAGGTTTTACCTATGTTAGTGGCTAGTCCACGAAGACTTGAAACTAGTGCTCTCATGGTATAGGACGGATCGTTAAGAAAATATAGATCAAGAGGAAAGTTTTTAGCGATCTTGTAGAAAACCATTACGTCACGTAAATTGCTATCTATAATACAGAAATATCATGAATAAAAAAAATTGGAAAATATTTGATATATTAACTCTTCAGAAATTGCAGATGGCTTGGCAGGAGAATGAGTATTACTGTGTCTGCAGTTAGGTGTTTTAAAACATTTCACTATTATATCTAATAATCGGTTTGGTTGTCTAGAAATTATAGAATTTGTACCTAACAATTTCACGACACAAGGTACTACCCTAAAACGTACCACAATCTCATATTTGACACAACTTTCTTTAAAAACATTTTGTTATCGCCAACTTAATGGTACTGAAAACAGTTAGATGTTCGAGGCATCAATGGTCAACAATAAGATTGATTTATGTTTCACGTACTTGGAACAAGTGTTATTTTCATCCTTTGTGGTTTAATTTGTACGGGTTCTTCAGTAGGTCCACCATCTGAGAAGTCATTGTTCTGAAAATTACCGTCTGAGTTTTCATTGACTTTGAAATTAGTATAAGCATCTTATAAAATCAAACACATATTAATGAGAAAGAACTTTGATTCAGGACATCCCCCATGACAGAATTTTCCTACAATCTTAATAACTTAAATACCCAAAACTACTACATTTGAGGTATAGTCAATTGGAACACTTTTTCAAATCTATGCATCTCACATGATAAAATTACATCATTCAGTCGCGACAAAAGTTACTGAATGCCCATTGAAAGGTCACTAAAAGTCACTGAAAAGGGCCTATCAGTGACTCTTCAGTGATCTTTCAGTTACCATTCAGTCAATCTATCCATGTGTTAGCGGGGTCTTGGCAATTTGTATATATATCTTTAAATATTCTCTATTAGTATCACAGATTTTGGTGGAAGACTAATTATTACACGTCTCTAATCGGAATAATGACAATTATCGACGACGGGCACAATCTAATTCTTTAAAGAAATGGTTCAAGATAAATCTAAGTCTTAGAGAATGTTTTACAATTCTACTTCTAAAAAATTATATAACATATTTTTCAGATGATATTGTTTATCTAAAACATCATTTGATTTCAATAATTAAGAAACACAGTTTACAATATTAAGTAACTTCCACAATAACCATATTAAATAATTAATTCTGTCTGCTTACACTCCGAGAAATGCCATTAAAAAATCCGAATCATATTGTTTATGAATAATGCAGAAAATATAATTAGAGCTGAAATTTTTTTTTAAAAGAATAATACTTCTTTTTAAATCAATTTCACCGATATCCTCGATTTTTTTTTTTACGTTTGACTGATTGTTTAATATTCATTTAAAAGCTAGACTGAATAAACTTGTGAAATATTTATTAGGGATTTAGCGATATTACAGAAATTTTTTTTAAAAAAAAGTAAATTTTTGAAAATTAAATTTTACTAAATCGTGCAACGAATTAGAAATGCTACCATTCTAACTATTTCTAACTTCTTCGAGTCCTATGAGTACACAGTTAAATTGTAATATTTAACATGACTTTCAATTTATTTAGTCATACATGTTATAATTTATAATCACAATTTTGAATTTTAGAAAACAATTTAAACATAATCTAACTTCTTGTCATTATCAGTTTAACGTATCAATTTGTACCTAAATATTCTTACCACAATAAGAATTACATAAAGATATTTAAAGATAATTTAATTAGATTTCTTTTATAATAGTTACATTTATGCCATTAAAAAGCTTAAAAGTTACTGAAAGGATACTGAAATGTTCTTGCCATTCAGTGATTGAATGGTCACTAAATTAACGTAACTGAAATCTGCTTTTCAGTTTTAACCAAAAGGTTCATTCCTGTGTCTTAACGAAATTATCCACTACCTGTATTTTTATTAAAAGACACACTGAGAGGGTCTTCCAGATTGAGAGAAAAGATACATAACAGGCAAAGTTTTACATACATAATTTCTTATTAAACATAAACTTGTACGTGGCTTGTACGTGTATTTGAAATACTTGCATCTAACTATTGCAGCTATAAGTTGGCTTTGAAAAACTAAGGCAACGAAGAAAATGTAAAAGAAATTTTTCCATCAGAGAATTGGACAAATTAGTACACTTATACCTGTCATAACTTGTCGATTTGAATTCCTTGTACAGTGAACGATGTAATGTGGATGCAAACATGACAAAATACAGCATTGTATATCTATACTTATACATGTAGAAGAAACTCGTTTTTCTTGTTCAATATAGCTTTTATAACATTTGATAAAAAGAATGCAACATAACACAGTGTGCCTATATAATTTTAAAATTTAGTACCTACGCAACAGCCCCCTTTGTTGGCAATTAATCATACATCTTTTTTATCTAAACCAGAAATGGATATATTGATATACTTTCAAAGCACCTAGCTGTAATGCAGAAAGCAAAACGTGATCTGACCTGAATTATTTGAACATGGTTATTCTTTCTTCTGACGGTTTGATTACAACCATCACTTGACAACTGGCTTTCTGTTCCACACCGACTGAAGGCATAATCCTTAAAATAGATATTACAGAAATGAAAAAAAAAAGCCCAACGGATTTTTATCTCAAAATTCTTTTTATACGAGAAAGTTTACATGCTATTAAAGTCATCCTTTTGAATTCTTTGATAGACAATTAATCTTTTTTTTTTCCGGATGTTTCAGTGATTCAAAATTTGAATTTTTCAATATGCATATTTTGATCGCGCCTTTGTTTTGACGACATAGATGTCAATCATGGACAAGCGAATTACTTATTTTGTTTATAAAACTGCTCAACTATTGTGTCTATTAAACCTTTTACACAATGAAAAGGGTGATAATTTGATTATTGACAGCTAGTAGCGTATGATTTGCACCTATAAGGCAGAATTTATCTAAAACGTGAGAAGAAGAAAACACTTGTTATGGCCTTCATCTTGACGTTCAGGTATGAATCGTCGACGTTTTAACTATTAACAATAGTTACTTCCATTCATATGTCGACTCGATATATACATGTACCAGTGAATTCGAAATAAAAGACATCACAGAGTCGGTCACATCTGTTTTATATTTGGATATTTTATTGACTATAGACGATAAAGGCCAACTACAACTAAACTGTGTGACTAACGAAATAACTTCAGCTTTTTCATCGTCAATTTTATAGTAATATTCCGCCATCAATTGAATTTGGTGTTTATGCCTCCTACTTATTCGAGTCTCGTTTGAAGTCAACATTTAGTTCTATGGTCGATAAAATGACTTTGTAAGCAAATACAATCATTAAGTAGAATGTTGACTGACGTTTTTCATACTAATTGTTTGGCAATTATTTACACACTGAATTGTCTACGGATTTTTCCGTTTTCCAGATGATAAGAAGAACATGGCGGATATGACCGGTCGACAGGGGATGCTTACTCCTCCATGGCTCCTCATCTCACCTCTAATGATTTTAGAGGTCCGAGTTTACTCTGCTGCCAACGTTTGATGTTTCAATGGACTTTTTAGCTTGATTCGTGTTACTTTATCTCCATGTTTCATACCAAAGAGCATGCTCTGAGTGCAATCCATTCTCAAACCAAAACAGGCTACTGACAAATAAGTTGATGTAACAGGAATTTAAAATCTATGGTCGTTATGATGACTTTGTCAGCAAATATAACCTATTATTGGGTCGTATTTGACTGAAATATTTAAACTAATTGTTAGGCCTTTGTTTTTATACTAAATTTGACTTATTCGGTTTACGTGATCAATGCAGAGGGCTCACGGCGGCTGTGAAGGAACCCCGGGGGATGAAACTCCTCGTAGGCACCTGGTCCCACCTTTTTTCCTTTAAGATTGATCACTGGTCGTTATCTTCACCTTTGTCATTAAATTAATTTAGTTATTTTTTTTTTTTCAATTTCCGGTAAGACGTGGGGCATGCATTGTGCAATATTTTATCGAATACCCTCTATGTTGACAGGATTATATTCTCGGTTTGACATTTGCATGCCTTTATAGTACTTCACCAGAATTTTTAATATTTTTCAAACAGTTAGATTTTTTTTTTTTCATCATTTCAATATTTTTCAGAATGTAGTTGGTATTTATACTGTGCCTTGCGAAGCCAAAAGTATGACAAGATAGTGACAAGAATAAAACGACGGAGAAGCTCTGATATAATTAAGATAGCTAGTTAAATGTTTCAAAATATATTTCCTCGAAAGTTTTTAGCTCACCTGAGCTGAAAGCTCAAGTGAGCTTTTCTGATCACATTTTGTCTGTAGTCCGTCTGTCCTTCCGTCTGTCTGTAAACTTTTCACATTTTCGACTTCTTCTCCAGAACCACTGGGCCAATTTCAACCAAACTTGCCACAAAGCATCCTTGGGTGAAGGGAATTCAAGTTTGTTTAATGAAGGGCCAGGCCCTCTTTCAAGGGGAGATAATAAAGAATTTTTTAAAAATCTTCTCAAGAACCACAGGGCCAGGAAAGATGAAACTCATGTGGAAGCATCCTCAAGTAGTGTAGATTCAAGTTTGTTCAAATCATGACACCCGGGGTTGGGGCGGGGCCACAATGGAGGATCAAGGTTTTACATATAAATATATAGGAAAAATCTTTAAAAATCTTTTTCTCAAGAACAGCAAAGCCATTATGAGTCATATTTATATGGAAGCATCCTCAGATAGTGTAGATTCAAGTTTGTGCAAACCATGACCCCTGGGGGTAGGGCAGGGCCACAATGGAGGATCAAAGTTTTAAATAGAAATATATAGGAAAATATCTTCTTCTGAAGAACTGCAAAGCCATGATTAGTCATTTTGATATGGAAGCATCATCAGGTAGTGTAGATTTATGTTTGTTCAAATCATGACCCCCGGGGATAGGGTGGGGCCACAATGGGGGATCGAAAATTTTACTTGGGAACATATAGGAAAATATCTTCTTCTCAAGAACT